CCTCCCCTTTACACTTATGACTATATAGAGCCAAGTGTTTGTAAAGTTCAAAAACATTAAAAATATCATATTGTCATTTCTATAATGTTCTCTTTAAATTCCTTGGAATGTGTTGTTAGAAAATTAATACAAGATACAAGATAAAGAAATTTGTTAAACTCAAGTTGTTCTGTTTAATGCTTTGCACTTTTATAACAAACATTAGTGTTATTTAGGGAGGCTACTGCAAAAAGTGGTTGTATTTATGACTCATATGCCCGGAAAAAGACCATGTTTGTTATGCTGACATTTAATATCAGATAAGATGAATCTACCCAACATTAGGATAAATTCTCAAATGATCCTAACTAAAGATTACAACTACACTCTCATCTTAACGCCACTAAATCTTTGGTCCATGTACTGCAAATTATCGCAGAACGCCCCAAAAGCTTAGAAAATTTCTTAATGGACTCTGCGTTATTCTTTTAATACATTACAGATATTTCCCAGAAATCGGATCGAAAATTTGTAATACCTATTTTTAATGCGGTTCAAAATTTAGGTTTTTTCATTTGCACCATTGGATTTGACTTTTTAAGTAGCTATTCATAATGTTTTAATTTAAAAATGTCTTTGAGGATACACTGTAGGCTGTGAATCACTCTTGTTTCAGTACCAGTATACTAAAGAGTATAAAATGTCAGTTGTGTTTTTGAGTTTTGACAAAAATGTGTTCTTAGATCTTTATATTTATCACGTTCAATGAAAAGTTTGACTTACAATAAAGAAAAGTTGTTATTTTTCAAATATTTTTTTCATTTTAACCAAAGAAGCAAATACATCTATGGCATTACAAGGTGTACACTCTACAGTGGTATCTAAAGTCAGGATTTAGCATACTAATCATTTCTCAAATTTCATTTCAACTCAATATATGCAGTGTCGATTGTAATAAAATAAAACTGCTAGTAAAGGAATTGAGTCATTCTGATTTTCTTATCCTTATATCTTTGCAACCTGCAATGCCATAGAAATTTGATATTTCAAGCTATGCAGTATGTTAGATCAAAGCATAACAGTTTGAAATATCAAAGGTTTACACCACCGGGTTAATTACAAAGAATATATATTCCTTTATTTCAATCTTTACAATGAAAAAATAAACTTAATTATCTTTTCTTTTGTCTGTTTTTCAGAAAATGTTGTCAAGACAGCATTTTTGGGTCTAAGAAGAATGTCTTTTAAAACTCTCGTTTAGAAACATCGGGAAGAAATTTAATAAAATTCTTTTTCATGATTTCGATTTCTTAAATTTTTCTGAGCACTCCCTCCAAGCAAACTTGTTTTTTTAAAAAGTAAATCCAATAGATAATGCAGTTTCAATAAAAAGATAAAATGTAGTTTATAGATGCGATAATCTTGTTCATACCAAATAGATTCTAATACAATAGATGGCAACGTTAAATTTGTACACTCTCAGTACAGCTGTAGTCTGACGTCACTCTCAGTACAGCTGTAGTCTGACGTCACTCTCAGTACAGCTGTAGTCTGACGTCATAAGTGTCAACTTAGTTTTTGTGTCCGACAAAATTCTTAATAATTGTAATAATTAGTAAAAGTGATAATTCTAAAATAAAATGCTTATCTTACAGTAAAATAAGTGCAATTTTGTGTGATATTTTTTGTCTTTTTTTACACTTTTTATATATAATCTTTGAAACTTATCAACTAATGTGAGAAAATTTCGTTTTCCTCGTTATATTTGTCACTTGTGACGTCAAATTGGTCCATTTCTCTGTTGCCACCTATTGTACTTGATAATCTATTTGATTGATCTTTATCTTGTAACTAGTGCAGCATCTTTAAAGGGACTGCAAAGGTAATTTTAAATGACCCTGTATTTATAGAAGGAAGTTTCTGATTCACAATGGTACCTTCAAATCTTTGTTAAAAGAGACAGCCTTATTGTTGTAAACATGTGAAAAATCTGTTTACTTTCCTGTTCAATCTGTGTAATCTGTGACTAAATCATTATTTTCTGATAAAAGTACTCAACTTCCAAGATAAAGGATCGATTCAACAAAATTGACAGATTTTTTATTGTATCTCAAATTAACTTTAGAGATAAATGTGATGAAAACTTATTCTAATGAAAATTCGATCTAATTGTTTAAACTTACCAGGCGCTTATATTTTTTGCCAATATTTTATTTGCAAAATTACTTTTAAAAATTTGCTAATATAATTTTTTGATGTATATATTATTAATATAATTATTAGATCTTGATAGTTTAGTTCCTACCTTAGGCTAAAAACACGAATAGTATTTAGTTATCGAGATGTACATAATAAAAAACAAACCAAGATGTACATAAAAAATACAAACCACGTGTTTTAAAGTTCTGTGAATTGTTTTACACACATGTTAAAGAGAGTGGCAGGATAGTTGGTTAGTTGAACTGAGAGTGCAGAATTAAAAAGAAAAATATCAGGATTAATTTGTTATTGTGGAAGACGACTATCGGCCTCCTTAGCGTATCTCCACGTCCAGATTATTTCACCGTGTTTTCATAGAGTCCGTTCTAACGACCTCTATATTATCTTTTTACTTTTGTTTGCTCTAAATATTCGGGTTTTTGAAATTATTTAAGAACCCAGATGAAAACCGTAAAAAAAATTTCTATACATCAAGTTGTTGCTTAGGAATATATATTTTTCAAAAGAAGCTATCGATTAAATTAATGTTCGAATCAATTCTTCTTTTCGTCATCATCTTAAATTCTTTAGAAAGTAATTGAGTCTTTGCCACATATTTAAATTTTCTAAACCTTATATCTTTGCAAAATAATGGTGCGAATCTTTGATATTTAAAACTTAAATATATGATATGATAGAGTTCATAGTTTGAAATATATATGGTCTGCAACATTGGGTCGAAAAGATATAGGGATTAGAAAATCAGAGTTTGTGGCAAAGACTCAATTCCTTTGTTTGCAATTGTTTTTTAATGTCGTCTTTGCAATGAAATTCAAGGAAGTCTAAGGAAAACTTTTTTGAAGAATCGAATAGACTAAATTACTAATTTTGTATGGTAAAAATAAATTTTAATTTTCTTAACCTGTTATTAAGCAACATATTTGAAGCTGCGCACTATCCCGTAGTGTAGTAGTGTACGTCGGGTTGGGTTTAAACATTTTCAGGTTAAAATAATTGATATATCTACTTCTACTTATCTTGCAATTTTAGCCATATATATACTAATTTAAAAAAATCATGTTTTGGTTTTCTATTTATTTATTTCCGACTAATATTTTTTTAACGCAGTACTTGCATATGGAGAATACCATTCGGCACCAAACCTTTATAAATATATTTATTAGATTTAAATATAAAGCAATTGAGATTTTGACACAAACAATGATTTTTATATCTCTGCAACTCAATGTCGTTGATTTTTAGTATATAAAACTATGAATTATGTTAAATAAAATAGTCTAAGTTTGTAATATCAAAGGTATCCACTATCAAGATATAGGGATTTGAAAATTTAAGTTTGTAACGAAGACTCAATTCCTTTGAAATGGTAACAAACAAGTTGTTTAAAACAGTTTGGTATTTTCGTTATAAAGTTTTGCAATATTTATTTTTTGAAAAAAAACCCATGATGGTTTTAAACCCATATACGCGCGTAAACTTGAATCCCTTTTTTACGATTTTGATTGTTGACTTTTTAAAATCTACTTTTATCTATATATCAAAAGTTTAGATAAATAAAGTTGTTAATTTATTAACCCTGGTTTTAATTTTTCTTCAAAAATAATCTGTAATAAAATATTTCCTAGTTGTAAAAGGGTTTGTATTCCTCTCGTTTTTACTTTCTCTGGTATCCCGGTATACAGATGTACCCTGAAATATATCCCGGTATACAGATGTACCCTGAAATATATCCCGGTATACAGATGTACCCTGAAAAATGAATATGAAAAGATACAAGTAATGTATACAGGATTACTCACAAAGGAAAACACTTTAACGACGACCTGTAAAACCAGAATCTGATCTAAAAATGTAACTTGGTGTTCTACCTTTTTATAATTATTAATTGTTTAATAATTTGTCAAAGAAAAACGTAAGTTTAGAGATGCAGGGACACCAGAAGTGTAACAATAAAGACACAAAAAGGGTGTACAGAAGTCTCATTCTTTGTGGGTATAACCCTACTTGTCGATTTAAATATATGGGTTTGGGTACATGTACTTTAGCAACCATAAAGGTCAATACAATTCCAAAAAAAAACGCTAAAAATGTCTGTACTATGTCGGTTAAAATGTATGTACTATGTCGGTTAAAATGTATGTACTATGTCGGTTAAAATGTATGGGTGTATGCATTCCAGTAAACTATCAAATAGGGTCAGTTTGAAGTAATTATAGTAATTAAACTTTACCTCTTACAAGAAAATTGTTCTCGTAAACAGTTCTTGATATATCCAATAGTATCCTCACCAAACAATTCTTCATTATAAATCAAAATTAATGATTTTCTTCATGGAAGTTTAAAAAGTATTTTGCAACCTTGCATAAAACAGCCATTGACATGCTACAACATAATAAATGACAAGCTTAGGAACCCATTTTCGCCTGGAAGCTAAGTTTTCCCTATACATTTTAATAGTCAACACACTTACCTAAAAATATGTAAACCAAGCTAAGAACGTTTTCGTGGTTTTACCGAGTTACTCGATCAAAATTTGAGGCAAAACGAGCATGGGATTCATGAGTTATGATCGAACAAACAAAGATTATATAAAGATATTTTACCTAGTATTATGGGATCGATAGTTTGTCCGATTATTTTGATCTTGGTCTTCATGTTACCATTAGAATCTTAAATAATAAAGATACTTTTTAAGAGAATGTTATTGTTTATGATGGACAAGCGAATATAGGGTCCGTACTCCGTGGTGGGCGGCTTCAAAAACGTGTTCAGACACCGGAATTTTTTTGGTTTATTTATCTGGTTTATATACAAAGTAATTGAATCTTTGCCATAAACACAAATTTTCTAATCCGAGTATCTTTGCAACCTGGTGGAGTAAACTTCGAATATTTCAAATTTAAATCAATTGATCTACGACCATGGGTTAACCCTATAAAGGCTGGGGGATGTGAACCTATGTATTGAAAAAGGCCTTAGGTATAGGGTTAAAATGAATTTTCATAGCCCAATTTTTCATCAGCTCAAAGAAAAAAATATTAGACCGATAACTTTTTCACTTTAAAATTCTTCCAGAGCTTTTCAAAAAAATAGTTTTTAGATCTGTAGCTTTAGTTACAAAAAAGTTATAGGCTATTTTAGATTTTTTTTCAAAGACCAAACTTTTTTTCCGCCTTGTACCCTACCCTATAATTCTAAAAAAATATATTTTTTAAACAAAAAAACCTTTAAATCATTATTCATTAAAAGTCACAAAATTTCACGGTGATAGTGTTAAAAGAGTACTAGGACAAAAAACTACAGAGGGGGGGGGGGGCCAAAAGCCCCACCCCAGCCTAATTAGGGTTAATGGCAAAAACTTAATTCCTTTTGAAACTTACTTAAGTTCTCTCTGTTGCTGGGCAAAGGGGATGACAACTTAGGAGATCTAAGAAAAAAAGAAAATAAACATCTTAAAATATTAATCAACAAATTTATTTTTAACCTTTTATTCCGTGTTGTATTATTGTTGTCCCTGTACAGCCCACAGTTACCTAAACCAACAACTTGTTATCCTAAACCTTTTCATATAAATTTCGATGATTTACAAAAATACAGTCGTCGTCGCATATATTAAAAAAATGAAGACGACTTTCAATTTTAATTTGGATTTATATCAAGCTGTTAAACAGTTTAAATGTAAACACAAGACGGATGTGGACGCCTGACATGGGATCCATCTTTCACATAAAAAAATCAATGAAATATTCTGGTCATAGGAAACTATTATGTAAATTATCAACATTATCAAAATTTAATGCTTTTACCCTCATCGGATACTAAACGAACACTGATGCATCTGTTTTTGTTTACAAATTCCGCACAGAAAGAACCCAGAGTATACAAAACTGCAATTAACTTTCCTTGCATTATAACCTTGGTTCAAAGTCGCATTCCAGTGTTAGTCCCTTCTTCTTGGTAAGAAAGGAATTGAGTTTTTGTCACAAACTCTGATTTTCTTATCCTTATATCTTTGCATTTCAATGTCGGAGACCTTATAGATATTTCAAGCTGTGAATCATTTTGGATCAAAAAACGATAGTTTGAAATATCTAAGGCTTACATCATCAGGTTGCAAAGATATAGCAATTGTAAAATAAGAATTTGTGGTAAAAACTCAATTCCTTTGTTATTCAAATCTGATTTAATTAAGAAAAAATCTAATCATTGAGAGGAGACCAAATGATCTGCACTGGATTGGGTCAAATATAACTTCAGAGGCTAGAGTTTAAATCTCGGGACTTCAAAAAGAAAGAAAAAGAACCTTGTTTTTTTCTTTTAGATTCTTGCGAAGACGTTCTGTATATTTTAGCTGAGGAGGAGGAGAAGGAAGAGATTGAGAGGGAACTATTTGAAGGTTCGTTTAGTTCTTGGATAGATGAGCAGCTAGATCCTGGTCGGGACTCAAGCTTCCTACCAGAGCCCTGGAACCCAAACCTTGGAACAACAAACATTAGGTATTGAATTACAAGCTATTCAGTTAGATTTTTTTATTTCATTATATTTTTTATTTCATTATATTTTTCTTAATTGTTGCAAAGATTTATGAATTTAAATAAATGATAGAAATCTTAAAATAATTTTGGGTTTTTAAGTTTTTTGTTGTTGAAAGCTTCTGAATAGGAATATAATTAAGATGTGAGCTTACTGTAAAGCAGAAAGCTTGTCGCTACGCCTATCTATGATATCAATGTATACTCCGTCGGGAAAACTCTCCTGAAATAAGAAACATGAAATATGATACTTTCTACTGATACTAATCATGAAACTTATGATTTTTATATAAAAAGATAAGCACCAAAGGCAATTTATTGTTATACCGTTTAGTTTAAGTAACTTTACAGTTTGGTGGCTCTATGTGTAATTTTAATTAATCCTTTATTTTCAAAGTAGCGTGAATAATTAACAACTTTACTCTTTAAACTCTAAACTGATCAAGGATGACGGACTTATTCTTAGCATGATGGATCACTTGATATTAAACTGACAGTTCCTTTAAACTTTACTTTTCAGCAAGTTTAATTAATAGCGCAATTAGGTTCAATTCAACTATGTCTTGAAACTTATATCTTCTATCAGAGTCAAGATTTTGCATAATGTAATAAGAGCAAATTTATTAAAATTAAAATTATGAAACACAAAAAAAAATCTTGAAGTTTTTAAGGATACATAACAGATTTTTTGTACGCAAACTTTTGATGTTCCAAAGCGGTATACAAGCTCTATGTAAATCGGGTTATTATGGGAGAATAAGGCTTTAAAATGCGTTAAAATAGTTAATAATTATGTTCAACTGATACCTCTAGTTCTGTTGGAAAGTAACCGTCTAGGATGTCCTGTAGAAACGCATGTCCTGTCTGACAAAAAAAGATGGATAAGAGAATTTAATAATTTGAAAGTTTTGTACAAGTATCTTTTCATTTAGTGATTAAGGTTTTTACTAAATATGGATCAAAAAACTAGAAATTAAATGAAAGAATTCATAACTAAATAAAAGATTATCAAAAATACTACCTGATCTGTATATTTTCTAACCGAAGAGTCAAGGATAAAGAAATCTTGAAAAATGATTAGTTCAACCGTAGGACGAGAATTAAACCTTCCTTCTCTGTGTCCTGCTTGCATCTAGGATATTACTACTAGGACAATCATTGAATCTTCCGTGTCCTCCTTGTATCTATGATAATATGATTGATACTAGGACGGATATTAAACCTTCCTAATCCGTGTTCTGCTTGTATCTAGGATAATATTATCAATACTAGGACGAGCATTGAATTTTCCTGTTCTTTTTCCTGCTTGCATCTAGGATATTATTAATACTAGGACGAGCATTAAACCTCCTTCTCTGTTTCCTGCTTGCATCTAGGATATTATTAATATTGGGACGAGCATTACACCTTCCTTCTCTGTTGCCTGCTTGCATCTAGGATATTATTAATACTAGGACGAGCATTAAACCTTCCTTCTCCGTGTCCTACTTGCATCTAGGATATTATTAATACTAGGACGAGCATTACACCTTCCTTCTCTGTTGCCTGCTTGCATCTAGGATATTATTAATACTAGGACGAGCATTAAACCTTCCTTCTCCGTGTCCTACTTGCATCTAGGATATTATTAATACTAGGACGAGCATTAAACCTTCCTTCTCTGTTTCCTGCTTGCATCTAGGATATTATTAATATTAGGACGAGCATTAAACCTTCCTTCTCTGTTTCCTGCTTGCATCTAGGATATCAATACTTTGTAAAACAAGCATTAAACCTGCCTTCACTATGTCCTACTTGCATCTAGGATATTACTATAATGACGCGCATTGTGCCTTTTTCTCCTACTTGCATCTAGGATAGTCCTATTAACAGATGCTTAGTCTTGTAAAGAGAAGTAAGACAGTTAACCTAGCTATGCAAGCTATGTTACTATACTTATATAACTAACTAAAGATAGATCTCCGCGCACACCTCAACTTGATGACCCCAATTTTTTTTTTTTGAGGCAAGAAACACCAATACAGGATAGTCTGATTTTAACTAGATTGGGCAATAGAATATTGAACCTTCCATTTTTCAGATTTTGTGATAGCCTAACTTAAAATCTAAAAACAGGAACTGTTAGCTTACCAAAGACAATTACTTTCAAATCCTTACATCTTTGCACGCTTGGATATTTTAAACTTTGATTGTTTTATCTAGCAGAATGTATACTCTTCAGTATCAAAGGTCTACGACATCGGGTCAAAAATATAATGAGATTAGAAAATTAGAGTATGAGACAAGTAATCTAAGCTAACCTGGAACCCATCTGAGATAAGTTTGTTTAGTTGATGAACTTTAATAATAATATCATCAAACTGAACTACAGGATCAGCTGAACCCTCATTCATGGAATCCCATGTCTAGGCAGTTATTACTTTAAATGAATATAATTATAATCAAAGGGGCTGTGAACGTATTTTCAAGAGACCTTTTATTTATTACCCTCTCATTCTTTATCTGAATATCAATAAGGAAGAAACCGTCATTTTTCTACCTTAAAGTGTTGAATTTTGACTATTTCTGTACTTTGTTTTTGCTGCTATGAATCCGCAATCACTCTAATATGGAAACCATGCACAATAATTATTTTGTTTTCTATTCTAAAATATCTTACTAATGGGCACAGTTCACAATCGGACATTCTACTTTTTAAACGGAGGGTCAGTGGAAATAAAATAAAACTTAGCAAAATTAGATTTTTAGAGCTTGGAACCCATGCAATTCTAACCTCTTGTAAAACAGTCTCAGTATCCTGAAGTTTAGACTCTAATTCACCTAAATAGATAAAAGTGGGGGAGTGATAAATAAAAAATCAAACTTTTAAAATTCCAGAGTAAATACATATTTTGAACATTGCTGGAAATTATATAATGTTCGCACTTTTTGTTTAAGATTACTTTGTATTGAAGATTGAAGGTTGATTATTTATCTTATAAAAAAAATTTGGGTTCTAGATAACTAGAAAAGCAATAAGTTCAATGTGTGAACAAAAATGTGCCAACATCATATAACTTATTTTCTTTTAGTTTTTATAAGCTTTAATGTTGTACTAAATGTACTGCAGTTTCTGGGAGGATTGTAAACAAACTCAGTGCTTTACAGGCTCTCAGGTTCTCAGAAACTACAGTACAGTTTTGATGGTTATAAACATTGATATAAAGATTATTGAGTCCGAATTTTAATGAATTTTAGCCGCGTCTCAAATCCACCAAAAACCGGTTTCAATTGAGCGCCGGCTTAAATCTTGAAACATTGAATACAAATTTAAGAGTGGAACCAACCATATTTGAGCCGTGTCTCAAATTTAAGCAGTGGCTCAAATTCTTTAAATTCGGCCTCTTTTTAATCTTCTTTGACTTGACTGACCTATAATTTCATCTTTAACACTACAGTCGGAGCAACTCTTAGTTTTCCTACTGAGAGCATACTCTAGTTTTCCCACCAACTTGTTTTGCTCATCTAACTACAATATTTAAAATATAAATTATATCAGTTTTCAGCTGTTCAATCATTATTGCCAATATTGTATTTATTTGCCTTTAAAACGTTCAAAAGCATAAAAGAAATTGTATCACTGAATCCCAAATTTTTTTATTCTTGTATATGTTTGTAAGAATGATATTTTAGGTTTATACTAAAACTTACTCTAGAGTCTAGACGTTATTTCAAGTATTTTTTTATTTGTGATATACTTGATTATTAAGGTTTCTTTGTAAAGTGACCTGCTCATTTTTGCTTCAAAAGCCATGGAGCATATTGTCAAAATTAAACACTTTTCGAGATAGAAAAACGATAATTTCTTCCATAATTTAATTTAATTAATTTAATAAACATAAAAGGTATCCTTGTTTACTTTAAATGCTAGGTCACATTGATTTAAAACAACAGTCCATTTAAAGAGAAATATAAGTATAGTTGAGATAGATGAAGTGGTTTTATACCTTACTCTTGAGGTGTTCAACTTCTTTCTTCAGATTCTGAATTAGAAGAGTAGAACTTCTTTGAGTGAAAGAAGATGCCCCAGAGCCTGAGAATATTTAGAAAACGAAAAATTATTTTAAGAAAAAAAAACAGCTTAAAGGAACAGTAAATGTAATTTCAAGTGGTCCTTCATTTGTGATTTTAGAAACAACGTCAGAATTAAACACTACTTAAGCTAAATAACACGTTATTTCAGGTGTCAAGGGTTCTTGGGAATCTGGTATACACCTCTTAAAATGGAGGGTTAACTTAAAATGACTTGGATAGTCCCATTAACATTAAACAAATATCTAATATTTTTACCTTTTGATATTCCAAATCTATCTCTTTTCTCAGTTGTATTTAGATAACCTACGATTTGAAAAACATGAAAAATATGTAGTTATTATATTAAAAATATGTAGTTATTATATTAAAGATTTTTTCTCTCAAAGAATATATATATATCAATATTCTATTTAAGAGTATTAAACCAGAAAGAATGATTTTCTCTTAAGTTTGCGCTTATAAACGTAACTATACATATAAAAAGAATATTTTTATTATGATATAAACAAAGAGCTAAACATTTGTGCGTGGATCGCCAGCTTTGTCTAGAATTCCCAGGTCCTTCACGTTAATGGCTCAGGTAATTTTTACTATATTTTAAATGAGAGCATTTTAATAGTTTTTAAAATCACCTGATTGATTATCTGCACTATAACTTTTCTGAAAAAAATCACGTTAAATTAAAAAAAATTATTATAAAACATTTTTTAGTTTTGCTTGCCTGGATATTTCTTGTTTTGTTTCTAGAACTGGGTCCTTGCACTCCTGATCCTAATCCTGTTTCTGAACCTGATCTTGATCTTGATCCCAAACCTGAACCTAATCCTGATCCTGATCTAGATCCCAAACCTGAGCCTAATCCTGATCCTGATCTTGACACTGAACCTCTCAAATCAGTTTCTGATTCTTCGTCAATCTTTCTGAAAACAGATCCTGTTAACTTCTGCACGAATATTTGAAATTTATTTATTAGGAATATAGATCAAGTTTTCATTTGTGGTTTCTCCGCAAGTGACTTGTGCATTCTTGCTTCAGAAACAGTGCAGTAATTAAACCGAAAAAACTCTAGGATGTAATTACTGCTAAAGTTTGAAAAATCTCTACATAACTCAAAAAGAATTTTTTCTTTTTTGTCCAAAAAGAATAAATCCGTTGAAATTTTTGAAAAATTAAAAAATTGACGGAGTTAAGTTAAAAAACCTCCAGTCCTATTCTAAAAAGCGAGCATTTATGACGGCTTTATGGGCCGAACTCATTTATTTTTAATGTTTTTTAGAAATTCCAACGGATCCGAGTTCCCTAATTGAAAACGAAGAATTTGACATTTATCATGATAATTTCATAATTTCTTCAGCAGTTTTTATAAATTTGGAGGTGATTATCGAATATAATTTAAGAGGTGTCAACCTAAAATTTTCAGAAATTACTCACAGTATGTAGTGCAATGGTAAAAGTTTCCGCGCTCATCGTGTACTCCATGTTTTTAAATTAATAATCATTTGTGGACACATTAATGTACAAATAGATGTCCCATGCTGGAACTAAATGTTAGGTACTCTACTCCTTCCACCCTGTCCTGTTGACGTGCATCCTCGTTCTGATTTGCCTGTCTTACACCTTGTCCTTCTACTCCTGCATACTGATACGCTTGTCCTGCTATGCTTGTCCTGCTATGCATACCCCTGTCCTGATATTCTACTAATGTTACTCCTTTTATTCTGTCCTGCTTGCCTGTTCTGATACTCCTGTCCTGCTAATAGCCTGTTCTGCTACTCCTGTTCTGCTACTTCTGTTCTGCTACTCCTGTTCTGCTACTCCTGTTCTGCTACTCCTGTTCTGCTACTCCTGTTCTGCTACTCCTGTTCTGCTATTCTGTCCTGCTACTCCTGTTCTGCTACTCCTGTTCTGCTATTCCTGTTTTGTTATTTTGTCCCACTACACTATTATATAATGTCTTACCTGCTTCACGTGCCCTACTTATCTTGTCCTGATATCTGTGTCCTTTTCTCTACCTGTCCTGCTATCTCTGTCCTAATAACCTTGTTCTACTGTCCCCTGGCTTTTATCTATGTCCTAATCCCCTTTGCTTCCCGTGTCCTAAACTCCTTGCATTACTTTCCTAATCTTCTTGAATTACTATCCTAATCTCCTTGCATTACTGTCCTAATTTCCTTGCATTACTGTCCTAATCTCCTTGCATTACTGTCCTAATTTCCTTGCATTACTGTACTAATCTCCTTGCATTACTGTCCTAATCTCCTTGCATTACTGTCTAATCTCCTTGGATTACTGTCCTAATCTCCTTGCATTACTGTCTAATCTCCTTGCATTACTGTCTAATCTCCTTGTATTACTGTCCTAATCTCCTTGTATTACTGTCCTAATCTCATTGCATTACTGTCCGAATACCTTTATCCTTCTACCCATCTCCTACTTTTATGTCGAACTTGTCGCCACCTATCCCCCTACCCTTTATCTCCTACTAATCCTCTTAAATAAACATGATTTATACCTGATAAGATCAGTTAAGCTGCATTTCTTGACAGATTTCTGGTTGATTCTGTTCATCCTAGATTTAAACTATTCTGAAAATTACATTTATCCAAACATAAAATTCCAAAATTTACTCACGTTAAAAATGTATTCTTGCAAATTTTCAGGATGCTCACATGTTGAACCAGTAACGTTTAATCACCACTAAATATGTTTAATGTTGGTTGGTAAATCTGCCATTTCTGGGAAATATTTCAAGATGAAATCAGAATAATTTAAGAATGTGAACACAGAGATCGTAACTTTTGTATATTAACGAGATGTTTCTTCCACGCCTGAACTTGATATTCACAATAGAAGCTTTTGAATACAAGCGATTTAGTACTTAATCCGTGAATTTTTAATTCACCAGCTATAGCTGACTCATAAATCTGCCATATTCAATTGGTACATTTTAATCCATCGGATTTGTACTAGCTGACTCATAAATCTGCGACCTTTAGAGATATTCAATTGGTACATTTTAATCCATCGGATTTGTACTTTTATAAAGTAATGCCAATATCAAAATTCTGACCTTAGAGCATTATTTATAATTTCAAACTTTCTAATTTGTAAGAGTAAAAAAAACAGACAGTATTAAGTAAAAGCACAAATACAACCTGATAGGTAAATTTATTCACTTTTCAGAACTAGTTTAAATGAATTAACATACAGGGTGTCCCACGAAACATGACAATAGCAAGACAACTTGAAAGTCGTCTTTGGTATTTGAATTTATTTGTGACATTTAGTCTTCTATCTGTATGATTCTTGAAACAATTAACACATAATTCTCCTAGCCCTGGCATTTCCAAAAAGTGGTCTGCGTTTTTTGTGCTTTCAATATTACTGGAGATATAAAGAGTTTGGTTCAGATTTCAATTTTGTTAAATAAAAGCAAAATTGTAGAAATCTGAACAAAATTCTTCATATCTCGGACAATATTGAAAGCACAAAAAAGGCAGACCACATTTTGGAAATGACAGGTCAAGGGAAATTTTGTGATTATTATCTCTAGAAATTTACTTCTAAAATTAGGTTGACAAATAAACGCAGCAAATTATAACAAAAATAAAGACGACATTCAAGTCGTCCTGCATACTCTCATGTTTCGTAGATAAAGATAGATTGCGCGTAAGACGACATTTTTCATCTTGAAAGATATAAATGTACAGAGATGTTTTAAAGATATTCCTATTATATAGATTAACTAGGTCGGTTGTAAGTACTTTGTGAGTTCTTATGTCACTGAGTACTTGTGGTGTACATGAGTTCTGTAAAAAGAAATTTAAGTTAGTTTAGTCCTTCTCATGTCCTTCTTCAGTTCTCGTCAATATGATATATTGCTCAGTGAAATAATTTGATATTCTCAAAATAAAATTCACACCTGAGTGGTTTAAAACATCAAACCACCCCGCTTATCATTGAAGTACACTTTGACCCCTAGAAATATGAGTTCGCGGACTGTACAATTCTTGGTGATTTTGCGTACATAAGCTATGTATGTTTATTTATTTATCTATGTGAAATAAGTACATATTACAGTATACATTAACGTGAATCCTAATATTAATAATTAGTTTAGCTGTGAGTTATGGAAGGAACTAAATTCAAGTTTGTTAAATCAATAGCCAATACTCAATGCAGGTCACTGTACAGTGGTACACTGGGTACACTGTACAGTGTATAAGATGTCTTAATATATATAGTTTCGACGTTAAACACTTTTAAACACTCTCTATATCTTAACCCTAAAAGCTATGGGTCTGAATCTAAATCTATTCTGGGGGACGCCCCCCCCCCCGAATAGATTTAGACCACCCAGCCTTTATAGGGTTAAAGGGATAGATAAGCTACTTCAAAATACACATAAACCCGTACTATGTTTTAGGACCACAACATATGGCCTATTTTTCCGCTTAGAGATGTTTCTGAGAACTAGAGAGTTCAACCCTGATAACAATTATTTCAGGAAAACAGAATTTTAGATCGATACTTTTCGTTCTTAGGACCAGGCAGGGGCGTACGAGGGGGGGGCCGGGCCCCCCCCGCCCCCCTCTACGCGTGCCCCCCCTGAGAGGCTGAGAGGGGGCACCCATGAGGGAGGCTCTTTTAATAGTACATCTGCTTGCATTTCCCATCCTCAGGCCAAGCGCAGTGGCGTACTTAGGGGGTAGTAGTCCTGTTGCCCCCTTGGGATTTCCAGGCGGGGCACTGTCCCCCCTGGAAAATACAAAATTAAAAAGAGACTACGTTTAAAAAGTAACACCTGACAATGACAAAGACTAAGGATTTGTCTGAATTCATTGTTAATACAAGGAGAGAAAAGTTTTAGCCTTCTAAAGAGAATACTTCATTACACAAGATGTACTATGACGGAGAGCAGACTTAACGATCTTGCACTTAAAGCTTTACACCCTAAAAGGCTGTCTGAGCTCTCTACTGAAAAAATCATTGAAATGTTTGTGCAAGCAAATCCCAGAAAATTGTAGCTTGAAAGAGATGGTGAATATGAAGATTGAGTAAATTCTATCTAAAAATTTCAGAAGAAATTTCGTTTATTAGTAAAAATATAATTTGTAATGATGCTGTGATTATTGATTTATGGTATTTTTATGGTGAACAAAACAAGTCCAGGTGGGAGGGGGGCAAAACAAAATAAAAAAGGTATCAATATTATTTCAAAAAAGGGGTTTTTAAGGGGGGGTGGGCATACTGTTGCCAAGAGGGGGGACCCCAAAAATTTTTTTTGCGCGCCCCCCCCCCTAAACAAAAGCCCTCGTACGCCCCTGGGACCAGGGAATAACAAAATTCAAACCGCGACAAAAGGAATTACATCTAGCTTTGCCACAAACTCAAATCTTCTAATTCCTTTTTCTCTACAAGTAAATGGGGTAAATCTTTGATAATTCAAATTTAGATTGTTTGATCTAACAGAATTCATAGTTTGAAATATCTAAGAACTGCGAGATTGGGGTCATGTAGCAACTGGAAGATCAGAGTTTTTTAGCAAATGCTCAATTCCTTTGAAAACCGAGAAGAAGTTGAACCACGTCTCCAGAACTTGAAATGATGGATCAAATAAGTCTAAGTACATAATTCAACTACATCTCGTCAGGAGTCCATATAATTGCATTTCTGATCCCGAATGCATTTGGGATCAGAAATGCAATTACATGGACTCCTAACTCCCATGGGATCGGGATTGAAAGTACATTTAGGGGCATGAAAATACATTTTCTATGTCATTGTGAACTTTGACAAGTTTTTTTGTGTACGATCACTACACTTTAGAAATGTGTACTGCAGGGATGTTAAAAGATATAAATATCAGTATTTAAACAATAAAAAAGATAAATTATGATAAACAGAAACATCAAGGTACTAATGCAAGGAAAGTTAATTGCGGTCGCGTATACTCTGCGTACATATTGAAACCAGTTCTCTCTGGGCGGAATTTGTAAACAAGAATAGATGCATTAGTGTTCGTTTAGTATCCGAGGAGGTAAAAAGCATTTCATTTTTATAATTTTGATAATTTATATAATAGTTTCTGATGATCAGAATATTTCATTGATTTTTTATGTGAAAGATGGATCCTATGTCAGGGTTCGACATCCGTCTTGTGTTTACATTACCGCCCAAAGACAGTACACTGCAGTACAAAAAATGTGTACACCTCTAAAATAAATTTCCTTGCATTTATAGTACCTTGAGAAAAATAAACACATTATTGCAGTATACATTCTGAAGTATGGATTTTTTTCTTCAAATTGATACCATACTCCCAACTGTTAACAATAAAACCATGGTTAATTTTTGCCCCTAATATCAACCAATCAACATTTGGGATCGTATTAGATGGAATTACATTGAACCCTGCCTCGCTATTTATTTTAAATCAAATAGAAATTGTTTTTTTATTGTTATTTTATTGTTCATAAAAAGCAAAACCCAAAAGAAACTGCAACCTCATAGTTAGGGTTGTTAATCATTTTTTAAAACGATCAAAATAAGATCGTTTTTCGTCTCGTTTTAATTTTTTCTAAAAAATAATCGTTTTTTTGGAAAAAAACGATCGTTTTTAAAAACGAACCACCAGTTTTGAACTTTCAAAAAGCGAAAAACAATCTTGTTTGAAAACGATCGTTTAAAACAAATTTTTTGCTTATGATTCTGAGTTTTATGGAAATTTATTTCAATTTTTTTCAGAAAGATAAGGTTATGAATGTTATCTTCAGTTTTTTTTTTACCGAAACAAATAACCTGAATTTTTACTGACCTCACCTCGGTCGACGACTTTTTGATCTAACGAACTGCATAGTTTTAAATATTAAAGATCTACGACATGATTGCAAAGATAAAGTTTTAGTTTGAAAAGAAATGTGAGAAAACAAAACTTCTGTTAACTATCTGTGTTAACCCAAATTCGAAACAAAAGGAAGACGACATTCTGTGTTGTATATAAATGCAGCCGTACTGTCTATAAACCCATGAATCCATTTCCTACATGCAGTATTCCACATGTCACCCTCGTTTTCCTGGCTTCCCCCCGACTCTCTACACCTCCCGGTATTTAGTCAGCCGAAAACACCCGAGATGATGACAACTCAGTCTCAGGGAGCAATCCTGGCTCCTTCATAGTGATGATGCAGGTACCTATAGCTACCAACAGACGATGCTTACATCCAGCTCAACATTGTTCCAAGAGTTCCAAAATTATCAGGCGTACATTGAGATGCATTCCCTCATATTCGAAACTGATAGAACCGAGATCTCTCACCCTGTTCCAAGGGTTCTAATTCTCCTCTACAAGAGGATACTCACCCTGTTCCAAGGGTTCTAACTCTCCTCTACAAGAGGATACTCACCCTGTTCCAAGGGTTCTAACTCTCCTCCACAAGAGGATAATCTCAACTCTAATGAGTTTACTAAGCGAACTTGGAGAGAGCAGAAACCTGTTGTTCCAGTTCTAGTTGATCTGCACCACCAATATGAAGTTATACATTACCAACATGAAGTTGCTGCTGATGTTTGTCTTTTCCTTTATTAATTTCAATCAACCAATTTTAACTTCGCAATATGTGCAAATATTTCAAAACAAATTTTATTTTTCTTAAATAAACGTTATAGAATATTTGGGTTTTTTTTTCTGATTTCTTTATTTGTATATTTTCTGACCTTTTTTAAAGGTCAACAATCTGTTTTATCCATCTATATATTAATATATTTAAAACATTAACTTTGATATGATATAATTAACAACATGAATATATATTTGATAAATATAATATGAAATAACATTTAAATTACAACTTTGTACTCTCATGGTGTATATATATAATATTACAATTCAACACTAAAAAATTATCTTAATATTTATTTTTCTTTCTCGCTAAAATCCTTTTTTCATTGAATTAATGATTTGTCTTTTAATCTAAATACAAAATGCAGCAAAACAGAAACTATATTTGATTGAAACTATATTTGATTGAAACTGATGATTTTAAGAAAATCGGACATTTTTTATTTGATAAAGAGAGTTTATTGTTTATCATCATTTTCAAACAGTCTTAGGAAAAAAAGTAACAAACTTAAAGTAGCTTAAATATCTTCTAAAATTAATAGCATTAGGATGTTTCAAGTATAAAGAACTGATTTACATTTTCATCTTTGAAAATCATTTATATATTTATTATATTCTTTCTGAAAGGTGCGTTCCACGTGCGAAGTTCTTGAGAGTGTGTTTTTAGTAAAGCACTCTCATAAGTGCTCTCTAAGTAGTGTGTTTTTAAGATTGAGTTCTCATTTCTAGCGTTTTTAAGAGTGTGTTCTTAATTGTGCGCTCTATATCATACGTTTCAATCAAGAGTGAGTTTAAAGAAGTGCGTTCCCAAGTGTGGCTTCTCAATTCTGCGTTCTCTAGAGCGTGTTTTCAATGGTACGTTCTTAAAAGGGCTTTCTTAAAGGTGAGTTCTTATTTTTTGTGTTATCTAGAGAGAGTTTTCAATAGTGCATTTTTATTAGTATATTTGCAATTGTGGGTTCTGAAAAGGGATTTTTAAAAAAATCCCTTGTCCTCATCATTAGTGCTTCCGAGTACGGTGTTATTCTGCTATGTCTATGAATAAATCAGGTATGTTGTCAGCTTATATAAAGGATACAAAGAGAACCCTATTTCTAGTTTGTAAATAAATCCTCAAACTGGACATTTCATCATGTCTTATGAAGCATTTTAAATGTTTACCAGGCACGTAACTCGCATTTTAAAAAGAAGGTTGCACAGCACAGTAATATTCAAGTGCGCTTCACAGAAGGGGATCAATTTTAACTTTTAAGTACAGTAATGTCAAAGATTAATTTGCGAAGAGGGGGTTCACGTTTACCGTGCCCCCCCCCCCCCCTTGGCATAGTAAAGGGCCGGGGTTTACACCAGGACTAAACGATTAACTATAATGATGAAAATAATTTTGTTCGGCGTGAAAACTAAAATTTCAAAAAGTACTCGCAGTTAAGGCGTTTTATCTAATGTAACACTAGTTCTGCGTGGAAACTAGAATGATGAATATATTATAACTCATGTTCGGTATAGGAACTAGAATGTTGAAAAAAAAACACTATTTATGCGTGGAAACTGTAGTTCGGTGTTGGAACTACAATTGTGAATAGTACACTAGTTCGGCGTGAAAACTAGAATATTAAATATTACTCTAGTTCTGCGTAAGAACTAAAATGTTGAATAGAACTCCGCATAGTTCTGCGTAAGAACTAGAATGTTGAATAGAACGCTGCATAGATCTGCGTAAGAACTAGAATGTTGAATAGAACTCCGCATAGTTCTGCGTAAGAACTAGAATGTTGAATAGAACGCTGTCTGCGTAAGAACTAGAATGTTGAATAGAACGCTGCATAGATCTGCGTAAGAACTAGAATGTTGAATGGAACGCTGCATAGTTCGGCGTGAGAACTGAATGTTTAATAGTTCGGCGTGAGAACTAGAATGTTGAATAGAACTCTGAAAAGCTGTCACTCCGCGCCAACCTGAGTTGAACACTTGATAACATTCGAGCTCGTTCCTTCTTATCATGCCGCCGATCCTAGGGAACCAAACTTAATGATTTAATCATTAATTCTAGTTTATGTATTGTATTTTATTAAAAAAAATTATAAAAAAATTCAAGTTTTTTCCTTTAATCGTTTTAGTTGTCGTCTTCCTGCGCCTAAAATTATTAAAAATAGTATTGTGTTAATATAGACTAAAATTATTAAAAATAGTATTGTGTTAATAAACTAAAATTATTAAAAATAGTATTGTGTTAATAAACTAAAATTATTAAAAATAGTATTGTGTTAATATAGACTAAAATTATTAAAAATAGTGTTGTGTTAATAAACTAAAATTATTATAATAAACTAAAATTATTAAAAATAGTATTGTGTACGTTTATAAACTAAAATTATTAAAAATAGTATTGTGTTAATAAACTAAAATTATTAAAAATAGTATTGTGATAATAAACTAAAATTATTAAAAATAGTATTGTGTTAATAAACTAAAATTATTAAAAATAGTATTGTGTTAATAAACTAAAATTATTGAAAATAGTATTGTGTTAATAAACTGAAATTATTAAAAATAGTATTGTGTTAAAAACTAAGGATGAAATAGTTAGAAAGGACTTTTCCCATGAAAAGGAAAAAGGTATCTGGAGAGGAGAATATATACATGGAGAAAAATTAATAAAAATAAAAATATACCTTCAGAGAAAGGTTTATACTTAAATAAATACCTGGAGAAAGGTTTGTATATGAATATATACCTGGAGAAAGGTTTATACATGAATATATACCTGGAGAAAGGTTTGCACATGAATATATACCTGGATAAAGGTTTGTACATGAATATTTACCTAGAGAATGGTTTGTACATGAATATATACCTGGAGAAAGGTTTGCACATTAATATATACCTAGAGAAAGGTTTGTACATGAATATATACCTGGAGAAAGGTTTGTACATGAATTTATACCTGGAGAAAGGTTTGTTGTGCAACCACTATCTAAGGAGATGCTTTCCCGAAGCCGAGGGAGAACTAAGAAAATAAGAAATCAGAATTTTTTTACCGATTTAATTTTGTATCAAAAATACAAAAGTGAAAAGAATAAGTTCTAAATTGTTTTCCTGTACCTCTTAACTGTGATCCTTTTCCAAACTCAGACTTGTTTGAGTTCTTATTTTTCGTTTCTTCTTCTACCTTTATAAAATAATTTGAACGAAAATTGTTACATATCAAAAGAAGATCTTTTTGTTTGTCTCAGTCGATATGTTTTAGAGGTTTGAAAAGAGAAAATCCGTGAAAAATTAAGATAGGGGTTTTGATTTTCAGAATCAATCCTTAAAACATTAATTCTATTCGTATTATTTACTAAGACTATTGAATAAAAAACTTGCCTGATGATTTGATGATAAAGTTAACGTTGCTGAATTTGAGGCTGATTCAGGAATTGAAGAAGTTAATGTGGATTCAGGAATTGAAGAAGGTGATGCGGATTCTGCAGTAACAGGACTTGATGACGATTCAGGGATCTGAGAATTTCGATTGGATTCGGATCTTGATGTATATTCAGGGATAGCAGTAGCTGATAAGGATTCAGGGAAAGTAGACGTGGATTCAGAAATAGTGGAATTAGGAATAAGATAATAGGATTCAGTTGGTAATTCTTCAGGACCAGGAAAATGTTCACTTGATTTGGAGGTAGATTCAGGAATTATCGAACTTGATGAGGATTCAGAAACTGCGGATTCAGGTATAGGAGAACTGTACAGTTTACAGGAATCAGATCCTTCCTCCTGTTCAGTAGAATCCCTGATAAAAAAAAACAATAAAAGATAAAAATCTAAAAAAACTATGAATGAAAAAAAAAAATTTCTTGAAATATCGATTATGGAAATAAAGTTTTGAAAATTAAACCAATAAAACTGGTTGACAAAAGCTAAAAGAAAAAGACAAGATGAATTTTAATTTTTTTCAACAGATATCGATCAACGAATAAAATTAGGGTTAGAACTCTTTTAAGGGACTATACGCGTGTTTTCAAGTGGCCTTCCATGAAAAGATGGTCTGTTCAATTTAGAGAACATCGTTTTTTTTAGACTCAAAAAGTGCTTTATAGTTTCTTATAAACAAGAAATGCGCAAGTCTTTTTTACAGAGAACTTGAATTGAGAATTGAAAATAACCAGTTCAAAAGCACAAAACCATTATTCATACTTGATCAGACAACGCTTTTAAGGGTACCGTAGTGAATCAGATATTGACATCCTTGCAAATAGGGTCACTTGAATCTATGCTTTCAGTCCCTTTAAAAACCAAAAATATTTGGTCATTCTAAGCAGAGAACAGTTATGCAAAGGTATTAACTGGATGATCTCCTGAACCTGTACTGGTTTATGCTGGTATGGATAGGTGTAAGGTACGTATATCTGTTAAGTACTGGTTTATGTTGGTATGGATAGGTGTGAGGTACGTATACCTGTTAAGTACTGGTTTATGTTGGTATGGATAGGTGCAAGGTACTTATACCTGTTAAGTACTGGTTTATGTTGGTATGGATAGGTGTAAGGTACTTATACCTGTTAAATACTGGTGTATGTTGGTATGGATAGGTGTAAGGTACGTATACCTGTTAAGTACTGGTTTATGTTGGTATGGATAGGTGTAAGGTACGTATACCTGTTAAGTACTGGTTTATGTTGGTATAGATAGGTGTAAGGTACGTATACCTGTTAAGTACTGGTTTTTGTTGGTATGGATAGGTGTAAGGTGCGTATACCTGTTAAGTACTGGTTTATGTTGGAATGGATAAGTGTAAGGTACGTATACCTGTTAAGTACTGGTTTATGTTGGTATGGATAGGTGTAAGGTACATAGGTGCCAATATCATCATTCTAAATTAGCAAAAATTTAAGCAGTATAAGCAGTGCATGAAGTTTAAAACGATCAATGGCGAATCAAATGATAAATTTGTCAGTTTATTGATACTTTTTTATTATGATAAAATAGATCGCCTTTTGATATTATTTTAAGAATGTTTTTATTGTTTGGATTAACTTTACAAACCAGCATAAATTAAATAAATTTTGTTTATTTTTTGTTCTACGTTAAAGATGAGCATCGTTTTTCGAACGAACGAACATTTTGAGAACGAGCTGAGTTTTTTTGTAAAAAAGGGTGTCGTTGAGAACAAAAAAAAACAACCGAAATGAAAAAATTATTGCTTTTTAAAAAGGAAAGATTTAAAATTGTTTGAACGATCTTGATCGCTGGAGAACGATTATTTTAGTTTTTTTACTTAACAAACGAGTTTTTCGAAAAACTTTGAAAAAACAATATTTTTTTACTTTACAATCGTTTTCTCTAAAAAAACGATAATTTTTAGAACGAACGAAATTAATTATTTTTTGAACTATAAAAACCGAACAAAATGGGCCGTTCATTGTTGTATACCTCTGCGACTCTATCGGAAGCTATGTCAGGTAGGTTCACGTAGTGCTGGACAACATCGGGTACATTAGGTACCTGCAGGTACTTCGACCTCAGGTCTATCTAAACAAAATAGGTATGACTTGTATGTACTAAGGACCTCCTTTTGAATTAAACACTGAATTCCTTTTTTACTACTTGTAATGCAAATCTATACTTATAATGAAACTGAACTTGAATCTCATAATGAGTCTATATTATTGACTTATCATTTGTCTAGTACTGTATAATCATTTCTCATGTAATAACCTAATAAATAGCAAATAAAAAATAATTATCAAATCTTTAAACTAAATATAATACCTCTGTTTGATTCAGATTTTCAACTGTTTCTTCTGAAATGTCAACTGTTCCATTTATCTCAGCATACACGTGACTCTAAACACATATTTTTAAACAAAAATAATAAATTATAAACATCAATTGATTTTTATTAATTATTTAATAGTTAATATAGACATATATATATATATATAAGTAAATAACTAAAATTATGAAGTGTTTTAAACATTTGGGATCGATAGATCGTCAAGATTATTTCATCGAGATCGTATACCAATCCATACCCAAATTTTATTCTGTTTCATATCCTATATTATAGGCTATATCCTACATCATTTTTGAAATACTCCTTTTAAGCTTTTCTATAATTAGCTATTTTCAATCTCTTGAATTAATTTCAGAGAGTTGATAATATGTACTTTATCTCTGAGATATTTGAGTTTGGCGCCTTGCAAAGGAATTGAGTCTTTGCCACAAACTCGGATTTTTAAAACCCAATTTCTTTAAAACCAAATGTCGTAGACCGTAGATATTTCAAACTATGAACTCTGGTGGATCAAACAATGTAAGTTTGAAATATGAAAGGTATGCATCATCTGGTTGTTGAGATATAGGTATTTTAAAATTGGGATTTGTGGCAAAAACTCAATTTCTTTAACCAACCGCTAGGGGAACAGAAGGCGCTAGTATCGGCTCTGGCAGCCATTTTCAATACCTAGTTGCCGGCAAAAAGAGCACAGATTTACTCAGGAAAAATTTTCGGCCCCCACCCTCCTCCCCTTTGCATGGATCTCTTTCAGAAGAGGGGAAACTACCCTCTCTTCACTTTGGGTCCTCCAGGTAGCTTCACCCAGGGCCGGTGAACAGGGTTCACCGGCCCTGGGACAGTGGCCCGGGGGACCAGGTTGACCGGCTGGCAACAACAGGCTGGTCAGCAGGGTTGAGATTATTGCTTAGCATACAGCTTAGAGCCGGTCAGCAGGGTTGACCAACCCACCCAAGCTTTCGTTTGCAGGGCTGGCAGGTCAACTAGGTCGACCACCTACTAGCTCAGCTAGACCAGTTCAGGTCAGCTAGGTAGAGGCAGGCTGGTTGACCAGAAGGAGCAGGATTACAGCTCCTTAAGAGTACATGGGAGGACCGTATAGGTCTTAGTAGAGGAGAAATCTCCCTTATTATTTAGCCAAAATAAAGTACAGGTTGGGAGTTCAGGTGCTGAAGATGTGAACAGAGACCTGACAGAATGACTCAGAGATAAGGTAAGATAGTATCAGCCCCGTAAATTTATTCTGGGAAGAAAAAAACAAATGATAATAGTTCACCCCCTACAACTGTGGAATTGGAGGACGACCTTTAGACTCTAAGTTATGATTTGAAATTTTTAAACTAGCATGAAACACAACAATTTTGACTTGTGCAGACTAATTTCACAAATACAAATCCCCCTAACCTCTGGTGTAGCTGTTCCAATAATATGCCCTGAAGGCTTGAAACCTTGGCTGGTCATCCTTCCTAAACAAAACTTTTTGTAAATTAAATATTTTTCAATTAAAGTTTTCATTTGTATAAATGGTCGTCGTCTGCAAGTTAGTAAACTACAAAAATATGTATCGATACAAAGTGAGATCCATGTAGAGGCTAAATATTTCAGCAAAACACAACAAAATATCTGTTTTTAAATCTAAATGTTTATTGATTTGTCTAATTCTCAAAGACCATAAAACATAAAAATGTCAAATAATAGATGTCTCAATTGTCTTTTAAAATTATCTAAGATAAAAAGGTTGATTTCGCAACTTTGCTAGTTTACAACTATACAACTGGAAATATCATTGAAAATGAAATTTTATAGTTAAATTATTAATGTCAGAAAGAATAGAGCAAAAAATATATAGATAAAAAAGTTAAACAATAGCTATCTAGTTAGTTACGCACGCTTTAAATCCCTATTTCTTGAACTTGAATATATTCTACCTTTATCTCCTTGAGTTTGCTCCTCCGGTATCGGAGGCAACTTTCTGTCTCGGAGGGTTCGGGTTCGGACTTGTCTCCAGTTCGACTGAAATACAGGGTGTCCACAAAATATGTTCAAAGTACAAGACAATTCAATTTATTTGCTAGCAAGTTTAAAATTACTCGCTACTTACAGGGTGTCCCACGAAACATGACAGTAGCAAGACGACTTAAAGATCGTCTTTGATCTTTCAAATAATTTACGGCATTTATTCGAAAATAAAATTTTAGAATTAAAATTCTTGGTTTAATGGTCTCCATAATGGGTTCTGAAAGATATGAAGAATTGTGTCACGATATCGACAATTGGTATTGGATATCTAATAAAATTGAAATCTGAACGAAATTCTCAATACTGATATTGACTGACAAGAATAGCAGACCAAATTTTAGAAATCCCAGGACTAAGGGAATTGTGTGGTTATTGTTTCATAAATCATAAATGTGAAAGAAGAAGGTTGACGACTGAATGTCTCAAACATAAAAACGACTTTCAAATTCTCTTGCTACTTTCATGTTTCGTGGGACACCCTGTATTAAAATTTTCTTGCAACCTTTGACTTTTGAACTTTGCCAATGTATAAAACATCAGGTGACAAAGATATAAAACTAGAAAATTAGAGGCAAGTAATCAGTTTAGAGATGACTTTGTCCTTTTCCTTTACTTTTTTCACATAAAATATTGTCCTATGTTAAACAGTTCGTTTGAAATATTTAAATATTCTACTAAGATTTGTAAATAGAATTTAAAGTCAATTTTTTGGTTTATACTTACTTTGACAGTGCCATCCGTTCTTAATGATTTGGTAGATTCCCGTCTTAATACTGAGAATGTTTTTATTAACAAAAAATATAATATTAGTGAATTTACTTTAAACATTTAAATAAATCTTATTTATAACAAAGTATATTATATCGTATATTTTTAGATAAGTTGTTTTATCTTTTGCAACAACTTTGGTCTTACTCTTACATGCATTACAAGTGTACATCAACATATTTTAAGATATTCTTTCCTGTGCATTTTTTGGGTTTCTTCCCGCATTTAAGATAGATTATCAATATTATTATAATGAATAGTCCAACTATACAATTCACCAATAGAATTATCAACACTCAATACTTAAAAATTATTTTTGAAGAAAAAACTTTTTAAATTTTGTAATATTTTTTATAAAATAGGATGATTTTTGTGATTCTATTTGAAGTGTTTTCCTAGAATAATTGGAACTGTAAACTTGACAAGCATTAAATCCTTCCGATCCTGATTCAAGATGTTTTCTATAATATATTCATACTGGAGACTATTGTTAGAACCAGCCATATTTCCAATCATTTCAACACTTTTCAACATATGTATGGATATTCTAGTGCTTCCCAGCCATATCCATTATATTCATGTAATAACCACTGTTTTATGTCACTGAAGCCATTTTTGTCACTGTTATAATTTTATAATTATAGATCGATTGTTTAAACTCTACGCTTATGCATGATCCATATTTTTTATATTTGATTTGTCAGCAGTTAGGTGCACTACTCTTTTATCAAGTTCATAAACTTGAGACATAACGATTAAAATCAACTTTGCTGATACATTCACAAACAGTTAGGGTCGTCTTCTAGTTTTAAACTTTGTTAAAAATAAAGCAACAGTGTTTAAGGAACCTGGAATTCACCTTAAAAAGGTTCTTGAAGGTTTTTGAAAAATCCGCAATAAAATCTAATAATATTTACTGTTAATAAATGTACGAAGAAGAAGACCATTAACTTTAAAAGGAAAAATGGCGAGAATCCCTTAAAAATCCTCAGTTAAAATATTAATATGAGGATATATTTAACTAGGAAAACATGGGTTGAATGCAAAAGCAAGGATTAAAACTATGTTGAGACCTTAACTGTAAAGTTTAATACATATCAAATTTCATCTATTAAAGAAATATTCTTATATTTAGAGGTGCATACAGCGGATTATACAGCTGACGTCACTAACCAGGAATCATGAAATCAATAACATGAATGAAATGACTAGAAGTTTTATCGAAAGCTTGATCTTAATTATTTTACTAATATCTGAATTTTTGTATTTACTTTTGTTAAGATGTCAAGCATTTCAAAAAAAGTGTAGACATCAGACGGATAAGAAGGCATTAACAGTGTGTATCAGAACTTTTTAGGTCATTACGTATTAAAGGGGCTGTAAGCTTACTTCCAATTGACCCTCAATGGAAAAAGGGAATGTCCGATTTAAAACAGTGCCCTTTAACCTTTGACTGATCATCTACGGCGGAGAACTCTGTGTGTTTATCTCTAAAATGGTAATATAACTTCCCAACAAAAACCTGGATTGTATATTTGCGAATAATGTAGATTCAACCCAACTGACTTTACATAAATAAAAATCGAAATATTCCTAAATTTAAATAATTCAAATATTTTTTTCTGAAACGTCAAGAAAGTAAATATTAATATTTCTAAAAATATAAAACAGCTTGAAAGGTTTTCTGTAAAGAAATAATGATAGAACACTCTACTAGTGAAAGGTCACTTCAAATTATATTCACATTCCCTTTAAAAGGTCCTTGGTCGACATTAAAGTCTCATTATGTGTGGACACCCCTGTATAAATGATGTGTGAAAACCCCTGTATAAATGATGTGTGAAAACCCTTGTAAAAATGATGTGTAAAAACCTCTGTATAAATGATGTGTGAAAACCCCTGTATACATGATGTGTGTAAACCCCTGTATAAATGATGTGTGAAACCCCTAATGTATAAATGATGTGTGAAAACCCCTGTATAAATGATGTGTAAAAACCCCTGTATAAATTACCTGACACTAAAATATTTATTCACTTTTATTTAAGTTTCGTTCTTTACAATACTCATTTTACTGATACAGATTTTTCCATTAATGGGAAAAGACATCGGAGACGACTGTATGAAACTTAAATAGTTTTTTCGTTCATTCATGCAGTACCATGCAGTTGGACTTGCACACTTCCACTTGTTCATCTTTTTGTCAGGTTTGCAATCTAAAAGTGATATCTACTTTTAAAAATCTGATTAAGAACTAAGGTTATAATTCAACTTTCATATTTAAAAATGTCGTCGTTACAGTCTCTTTCTTAATGTGTAACCCTGTAAGATGAACTGTAACTACAGATTTGCCCACAAAATATGGAACTCTAATGACGACTAAAAACAATATAAATATGACGATCTAAAGGTTGAATTTTGTTATGGGTGCCCTTTAACCTTTAAAGAGTATGTTATGGTTCATGATTTTCAATGTTTATAATATTTTCAAAAATCAGCCATTTTAGAGGAAAGATTGAATCTATTTATTTTTTTATTTTTTACATTTACTTTTTTAGAAAACTTTTTTTGAAAAATGTGAGTGGTGCGCGGCATTCTTAGATGAGGGGAGGAAGGCCAACCACATCAATCTCTAGTCCGAACCACATTCTCATCATTTTCTCCTCCGAACCACATCGAAATCCTCGTCCTTTCAATATTATTTTGTCCGATCCTTGAAAATAAATACATTTTTTAAAAATATGGCGACGTTAGGGCATAGATGAAATATCAAATTTTACCAATTAAATTTTAGATTTGTGTAAAAATGAAAATGCTCCATAAACGATGTTCTACAAAAAAGCGTCTGTATCTAGGGCCCTTTCTTTCGCGGAAAATGCCGCAAAACATTCTCAAACTCGATGTAAACAACTTTTTGTAATATTTCAGCTGAATTTGGATTAGAGATATGACTTACAATTTTTATATGATTAAATACTGTTTGAATTCATAGGGTTGTGACCAATTAATTGTAGCAAATGATTTGAATAATATAAATTGAACATTATTTTTTTCTAGAATTTTAAGCATGCGGCAGGCAGTAGTGATCTCTTAGTGGGGACAACAAATCTACCTTATTTGTAAATAAATCAGAAATCAATGATTTTTTTTGTATGGGTTGAAATGGAAAGATTAAAGACCATGTTCACGCGAATTCTTTGGTATAAATTTTTATTTGTGAAAGTTATCCTTTTTGGATGTAGAAGAGATTCAATTTTGAACCTAAATAATGTTTGACATCATTCTCGTGGATTTGAAGATTTCCACATCTTAAAATCCTTGGAAAACTTTATTCTAGTCATGTTTTATGCCCTAACGTCGCCATATTTTTAAAAAATGTATTTATTTTCGAGGATCGGACACTTAAAAGAAATAATATTGAAAGGACGAGGATTTCGATGTGGTTCGGACGAGAAAATGATGAGAATGTGGTTCGGACTAGAGATTGATGTGGTTGGCCTTCCTCCCCTCCTTAGATAGTTGCACAAGCGACAAGAGAAATAATCAAATTCAAAACAAATTAGTTAAAATCAACTATATACAACTGTGGCGAAAGATAATCGATGACTATAGGTTGTAATATCTAAATGACTTGTTTGAAATTAAATTGATTTTTTTACGGTGTAAGTCGTATGCTTCAATTTTCTCAATTTGTATGGGCGCTACGTTCTTCGGTATTAGACGTCTTTAACAATTTTCTCCTTGTAGACGCAACAGATTAGTAGCGATCGAAAGCGTTTTTTTAATCGCATTAAGCCTATACCCCCTTTCATTTTTCGCGAACTCTCCCTTTAAAAACGTAATAATTTCCTTACATTAAGTTTTAGAATTATATCTGAATGTTTGGCAAAGAAAAATAAAGTTTATAAAGTACAGCAGGGAACTAAGAATAAAGCTTTAATGAATTTCGGAAGTCATTTTTGAAGTCTCGTCCTTTGTTGGTTTTACCCTATTGGCCATGAATGATTTGATCCAATTTTTAAATCTATTTTTTTGATTTATATGATATAAAACTTCCTTTGATATTTGAGCGTATTTTGGGGGGTTTGGTTTCGTCTCTTTGTAAATATAAACTTGAAATAAGACGACATTTTGAACAGTGAATATATGGATTTCATGAGTGAATATCTTAAAATTAACCTAAATATATCCATAATTTTTTCTATGAAAATAAATCATATTCAATTGAGGTACGTATTTTATGAGTGACTTACGGATTTCCGCTTTTATAGATACAATTTTCAATTAAACACTTTCCAACCTGCAGAATAAAACGATGTCTTCCACATTTTTGATAAAATAATTAGGTTTAAATTGGGTATCATTATGGTGATAGATACTTTCCCAAAGGCATTTTCCCAAGGACGACTTCCCAAGTAGCAAATTCCAAGTGGCAACTTCCCAAATGTGTAATTTCCCAAGCGGCAACTTCCCAAAAGTTAGGTTAGGTGATGGGGACAGATCGCTGCAAGGATGGGTTAGGGGGCCGGGCGCCGCGGCTAGAACATGCTTGGGACCGAGCGCTGCGGCTAGGACAAACTTGGGAAGTTGCCGCTAGGAAAATTGCACATTTGGGAAGTTGCCACTTGGGAAAAATTCTTTGGGAAAGTACCTAACATCATTTAATCAGTAATTGTAAATTGGTAATTGGTAATGGTAAATACTTCAGATTAAATATTTCAAATTTTTTTCCTGTTCAAGAATTCATGTACACGCTGATCTTGATTGATCTTGAGTCAAACTGAACAAAAAGCCAAATTGAAATATAATTACAGGATCTTTAGTTCTTTACACTATCTTCCTTCCTCACACAGTACACACCCTAGACTAGTTTCTGTACAGAGTTAACATATCCTACAGGTTGTCCCAGTATCTATATATGGAGTTAACATATCCTACAGGTTGTCCCAGTATCTATATATAGAGTTAACATATCCTACAGGTTGTCCCAGTATTTATATATAGAGTTAACATATCGGTTGTCCCAGTATTTATATATAGAGTTAACATATCCTACAGGTTTTCCCAGTATTCATATATAGAGTTAACATACCCTACAGGTTGTCCCAGTATTTATATATAGAGTTAACATATCCTACAGGTTGTCCCAGTATTCATATATAGAGTTAACATACCCTACAGGTTGTCCCAGTATCTATATATAGAGTTAACATATCCTACAGGTTGTCCCAGTATCTATATATAGAGTTAACATATCCTACAGGTTGTCCCAGTATCTATATATAGCGTTAACATATCCTACAGGTTGTCCCAGTATCTATTAAATAAATAAGAATAGTAATAATGATAATGAATAATAATATCTTGATGAATGAATAAATAAAAAGAGGATGAATAAGTGGATGAATATTGAGAGGAAAGATGGGAGGGGCGGGGTCTAACTTGTTAAACATATCTAGACTCCTCCTTTGTATTTGATTTAATCAAGGAACCATGTTAGAACCATGTACACAGACAGATAGATAGATAGATAGATAGTTTTGAAATTACAAGCTGATTTGAGTTAAATAAAAAAAATTTGGCTTTAAAATTAGATAAAAGGAATTGAGTCTTTGCCACAAACTCGGATTTTCTAATCACTATATCTTTGGAACCAAATGTTGCAGACCTTAGATATTTCAAACTATGAATTTTTTTAGATAAAATAAATCTGAGTTTGAAATATCAAAGGTTTACAACATCGAGTTCTAAAGATATTGAGGTTTAAAT